TGGAGCACCCCTGGGACACGGCCCCCGGGACAGCTGAGCCCTCAGCCGGGCTCAACTGCTACCATCTCACATGAAGTGCTCCTCTCGCTGTCACCTCGAAGCCTGGCAGGCACAGGGGGGGCCCGCACACTCCCCACTCATCCCCCATGCCCCACGGGGAAGATGGACATCCCTGTCTTCTCCTGCACTGCCCTCACACACCCTGGGCAGCACCATGTCCCAGTGATGCTCACATGCCTGGGGTTCCCCCCTTCCCACTGCTGTGCCTCCCTGAGCAGCTCTGCAGGCTGTCACCTCGAAGCCTGGCAGGCACAGGGGGGGCCCGCACACTCCCCACTCATCCCCCATGCCCCACGGGGAAGATGGACATCCCTGTCTTCTCCTGCACTGCCCTCACACACCCTGGGCAGCACCATGTCCCAGTGATGCTCACATGCCTGGGGTTCCCCCCTTCCCACTGCTGTGCCTCCCTGAGCAGCTCTGCAGGAAGGTTCCAGGTTGTGTCTTGGTGGCCTGACCCCGACCAGAGGAGAGGAGACAGAGACGGGGTGGGTGGTGCAGAGGGGAGAAGGTGGGAAGAGCGAGGAGGTGGAGGAATGGGTAAGATGCACAGAAAAAAGGGAGAAAAAATTGCAGAAAGATCTGGTGGGAGCGCCCTCAGCATGTCCTGAGTAGACACCATGTTTTGTTGTGCTTGAACACTCCACAGTTAGATATCCAAGAGGTCCTATCCTGGGAGAGCAGGAACATCACAGTGGAGTGGGCACCTGGGCTGACACTGGTGGGCACAGGAGAGGGGGAGAACCCAGGAACAACGGGACAGTAGGCATGTGGCATCCCTGGTACCTCCCTCCTACATCGCTCCCTCCTTGGGGAGGCATCCTGGGGCTGATCCTGCTCCACGGTGTGGCATCCACACTACCCCATGCCACTCCACACCGCCGGCTGCCCCAGGGTAGGAGCACCCCAATGCCCTGAGATGACCAGGTCCAGGGGCTACCTGCACCAGAGGTCCTATGGGCGAGCAGTGGAGCTGCGGTCTGGTGGGGATCAGCGGGGCATGGGGGTCCCAGGAGCTCTGCAGCTCCTTTGGGCCCCGGCCACGCTCTTCTCGGCACATTGCTCACGGGCAAGTCATGGAGAATATGGTCTCGCTTATCCCGGAGGATGGCTCCCGCTTTGGGGTCAGCTGCCTCTGTGGGGCAGCTATGGCAACGATGCTCCGCTGCCTGGGAGCCTGTAACAGTCTATTGCCTCTCGTCGGG